ACTTTCTTCCCATGAGCTTCTCTGCTCTCCATACACCTCAGTGACCAGACTTGGCTATAAAAAGCAGTCTATTTCTTGTTGGCTCCCTAAAAGTAGCTGGTATATCTCATCACATGGTTTCCTGGAGTTAGCTGATAATGGTAGAAAATCCTCTTCCTTGGGGATTTTGGCATTTCTGCTCCTAAGGCCTGCATGTGACAAGTGTTTCTCTAGTCTTAGATTAAGAGGGTCTGGGTTAGAGCCTAGGAGGACTAAAGTAGGGTATACCTTAAAGGACCCCTGATGAATCTAAACTAAAAAAGTTATGAGGATTAGAAATTTGATCTCTGTAAAGTTTATGTAAAACCTGACAACTTCTCATTATATCCACATTACTACTTTGTTTCAAGCCACCATTAGCTCACATCTTGATTATTGCAATTGCCACCTGGTTTCCCTGCATCTGCCCTTGTCCTCCTATAGTCTGCTTCTCAACACAGCGTTCAGAGAAATGCTTTTAAAGATGTAAATGCGATCGTGTCGCATATCTCTTCAAATTCCTCCAACAGCTTCCATCTCAGAGTAAAACTCAAAGCTCTTATGATGACCTACAAAAGCCTTTATGATCTGCACCCCTGTTGCTTCTCTGAGTTCATCTCCTACTAGTTACCACCTCACTTGTTTCTCTTTGGCCACACTGGCCTCCTTGCTATTCCTTGAACATACTTGTTCTTGGCTCAGGGCCTTTGCATTTGCCATTTTCTGTTCTTGGGATACTCTTCCAGTTATCCTGCTTGCCCTTCTCCAACATCTCCTTCAGATATTTGCTTAAAAGTCACTTTCTTTTTTTTTTGGCGGTATGCGGGTCTCTCACTGCTGTGGCCTCTCCCGTTGCGGAGCACAGGCTCCGGACACGCAGGCTCAGCGGCCATGGCTCACGGGTCCAGCCGCTCCGCGGCATGCGGGATCTTCCTGGATCGGGGCACAAACCCGTGTCCCCTGCATCGGCAGGTGGACTCTCGACCACTGCGCCATCAGGGAAGCCTGAAAGTCACTTTCTTAATGAGACTTTCCTTGACACCTCTAATGAAGATGATAAATCACTAATACCACAACTCTTGGCCTTCCCTCTTGACCTTCCCTGCTTTATACAAATTATTGTCTCTCTCACCCAAGTTGGATATTAGCTCAATGAGGACAAAGATTTTTGTCTGTTTTGTTTACTATTTACTGCATTTCTAGTGCCTGGAACATAGAAATCTTATATTTGTTGAATAAATGAATGAATGAATTTCTGCCTCCAGACTGACCGTCTCAGACTGCTTGTAACTGTGTCTTCCCTGATATGTCCTAGGGTCTGGTGTTTAAGGTCCAGTGATCTCATCACTTACTCATCACCCAGTGAGAGTAATCAGACTCTCAATAAAATTAACAAAATTGTTTTAAATTCGTTTTGAAAAATAAGTAACTGAGATTGACAAGAAATGTTCTGAAGTAAAAGAGCCATGGAAAGAGGGGGTCAAGACATTAGAAAAATTTTAAAAGCATAAAATAAAATTAAATTAAATTAAAATAAAAAGTATAATAAAATAGTCAAGTGCTAGCAAAAAAATATGGCTTAGTGCAAAAGAATGGAGAGGCTAGAAATATACCCAACTATATATGTAGTTGTTATTACTTTATAATTACTTCTTATTAAATAGCATTTTTCCAAAAAGGGAATAAAAGACAGATAATTTTTTTTAAGGTCTAAGGCATTTATTTATTTATTTTAATTGAAGTATAGTTGGTTTACAATGTTGTGCTAGTTTCTGGTGTACAGCAAAGTGATTCAGTTTTTTATGTATTGATATATGTATGTGTATATATGTGTGTGTATATATATATGTATATATGTGTATATATATATTCTTTTTCATATTCTTTTCCATTATAGGTTATTACAAGGTTTTGAATATAGTTCCCTGTGCTATACAGTTGGACCTTGTCCTTTATCTATTTTATATATAGTAGTTTATATCTGCTAATCCCAAACTCCTAATTTATCCCCCACTCACCCCCATTTCTCCTTTGGTAACTGTAAGTTTGTTTTCTATGTCTGTGAGTCTGTTTCCGTTTCGTAAATAAGTTTGTATCAGTTTTTTAGATTCTACATATAGGTGATATCATATGATATTTGTCTTTCTCTGTCTGACTTACTTCACTTAGTATGATAATCTCTAGGTCCATCCATTGCTGCAAATGGCATTATTTCATTCTTTTTTATGGCTGAGTAATATTCCATTGTGTGTATATACCACATCTTCTTTATCCATTCATCTGTCAAAGGACATTTAGGTTGCTTCCATGGAAAGACAGATAATTTAATAAATGGAGTTGGGATACTGGGTAGCAATTTGGGAAAAAAATGTTAAGAGTCACAATTTATAGCATACAATACATTGGATGTTAGGCGGTCTAAAGGGCTGACTATTAAAAAATCCAAACATGTTAAATACTTCAGTCAGTTTACCTTTCTAAGAATTGACAAAATCTCCTTGCTCTGGGCCCTTCACCATGTCACTTACCTAATTCTTATTAAAAAGTAGATTCTCTCGCCAATTTCAGATGAGACATTGGGGAGCTGGAGAACCTAACCCACACATGTCAGAAGGAACCTGAGTTTAGTTGTGGGGGGAGGACACAGAGAACTGTTAAACTTAGGCACTGCTCTTGACTCCTCATCTCGCCGGAGGTCTTGACTTCCCTTCAGGATTCTAGCCACCATGGGAATGTAGCTAGGCCGTACCTATACCCCAGGTAGTAGACTGCACTAGAGCTGTACTCCAGTATGTAGCTATTAGCCACATGTGGCCATTTAAACTTAAATGTAAATTAATTTTTTTAAAAATTTCAGTTCTTTAGTCATACTAGCCACATTATGAGTGCTCAGTAGCTGCCTGTGCCTAGTGACAGTTGTTTGGACAGGACAGATATTGAAGCTTTCCATTATTGCAGAAAGTTGTATTGGACAGTGCTACGTTATAGTTGTGGACATTGTCAAGTTCCTTGTGCTCAGCAGCCTATACCCTGACTAGGTTGAGAGTAATCCAGTGTGGTCTCTCTTCAAACTTCTCTCCTGAGTCTTTAAGCCCAGACGTCTTATGTCTGAAAAACCCAGGGGAGAAAATCATCCCTCGATTATGGGTTTAAGGAATCTGGGACCATTCTGTCAATCATCTGTTCATTTAGTCAACAACATTTACTGACATTACTCTGGGTCAGACCCTTTCCTTTCTTGGACCCTGGGGATAATGAAAGGTGGATAAGAGACATTTCCTGAAAATTCTACTAAAATGTGTTCTTGTGAGCGTAGTGATCAGAGTTGCGTATTTCTTTGATGTTTGAGGCTCTGTGGAAAGCAGTGATCACTGTTCAATCTTATACATACTAATGTGGTTAAGGATTGGGCTGAATGAGTATCTGTGAAATTAATTACCAGTTAAATTTCTAAAAGCTTTGATTTCTTTTGCTTTTCTTTTTTCTTATAAAAGTATAGTGTGAAAAAAAATCCACATAACTAAAGGACAGCATATGCGGTACAGGGGAAAACTTTAGACTATAAAGTCAGATACCTTGGGTTGGAATACTAACTCTATCACTTATCAGCTGTAACCTTGGGCAGATGCTTCAGTTATCTAATGCTGCATAACAAACTTCCCCCAAACTTAGTGGCTCCAAACAACAAAAACATTTATTTTATCATGTTTCTGCAATCTTGGCTTGGCTTATCAGGGACAGCTCCTGTGTGTCCACTTGGCATCAGGTGAAGTAACTCAAAATCTAGGGGCTAGAATCACCTGAAGTCTCAGTCACTCACATGTCTGACTCCTGGGCTGGAAGACTCAGACAGCTTGTGCTGCTCAGACATTGCTAGCTCTAAATAGTCTTTACACATTATCTCTCCAGAATGATAGCTTCAGAGTAGCCAGGCTTCTTACATGGTGGCTCAGAGCTCCCCAGGCATGTGTCCCCAAAGGGAGTGAGCCAGGTAGAATCTATACTGCCTTTTCTAACCTAGCCTGGGAAGTCATTTGACATCATTGCTGCCACATTCTGTTTGTTAGAAGATGAGTCATTAATGTCAGCCTATATTCAAGGGCAGAAGAATTCAACTTTTATGGAAGGATTGTCAAAGAATTGTGGACATATTTTAAAATCATCACAGCAAGTAATTAAATCTCTTTAAACTTAATGTTTTGAGAATTTGGGGCAAACTGTGTTCTTTAAGACTATTACTGCTTTTGGGCTTCCCTGGTGGCGCAGTGGTTAAGAATCTGCCTGCCAATGCAGGGGACACGGGTTCGAACCCTGGTCCGGGAAGATCCCACAGCTGCAGAGCAACTAAACCCACGCGCCACAACTACTGAGCCTTGTTCTAGAGCCCGCGAGCCACAACTACTGAGCCTGCATGCTGCAACTACTGAAGCCTGCATGCCTAGAGCCCGTGCTCCACAACAAGGGAAGCCACTGCAATGAGAAACCCGGGCACCACAACGAAGAGTAGCCCCCGCTCGCCGCAACTAGAGAAAAGCCTGCGAGCAGCAGCGAAGACCCAACGCAGCCTAAATAAATAAATAACTAAAGACTATTACTGTTCTCATTTGTAAAATAAGTGTGATAATTCATTAGTTGTGAAGATTAGATGAGAAAATATAAGCTCTTGGAATGTTGCTTAGTGTGTAAATGAGTGCTCAAAAGTTGTTAATTCTTCCTTTTCCATAATTAAAAAAATTTGAGGAAGGAATTTCTTATTCACGTTTATTTTTTCCTCAAACGAAACATATAACAAAAAAGAAAAGGCAGTCTAGTTAGTAAGTAGGACATATTCACATGGAAGGATACATGGGTGATGTGATACACTTGTACATCCGGCAGGTGGGATGTGCTGTGGCTAGCTAGGTGACCTGTGAGGAGATCTTAGTGGGCTGGCTCCCAGGTATCTCTTGTGACTTATGTGACTTATGTGCTTTCCCTTGCAGTTCCTGAGGGAAGACCTCAATTACCACGACCCAACGGTGAAACACAGCACCTTCCATGGTGAGGATAAGCTCATCAGCGTAGAGGACTTGTGGAAGGCATGGAAGTCTTCAGAAGGTAATAGGCAGCTTGGTTGTCAATCCTAGTTGCCGGAAGGTTTAGAGAAGAGAGGAGAAGATGGGTAGCAATTTGGCCTTTAAAGGACATGAGTATAAAATGCTTAGTAAAGAGCAAATTACTGAAATGGTTCTACGTACAGTGACTGAATAGAGACTGTATAGAGACTGAGTAAGACTGAAGAGAGTCACTGTGCTGAGAATAGGGGAAGATGCTCCAGAGTTGGAGTTGTTCTCATTAGAATTCTTATCGAATCCTATCCTATCCCTACACCTCTCCTTACCAGCTCCCCCCATCCCCCAAAGGAACCTCACAGCTTTGGCTGCTTCATCTCCAGAGACAGGGAGCTTGCTGGCCTTTTGAGGCAGCCCCTCTCTTCTGAAGCTCCCCACTTGGTCCTGGCTCTGCTGAGTCCTAGATGATTCAAAGGTTGGGTCGAAGTGCAGTTGAACTCTCTCCCGAGTCTTCTCTTCCAGGTTAAAGAGCCCTAGTTCTTTGAAGAAAACATTTTTTTCCAGCCTCCTCTTCATCTTGGTCTCCTGCATGTGGACACTTTTGTTAATGTATTTCTTAGATCATGGCTCCTACAGTTGGACGCAGACCCCCAGGTGTGGTTTGATCAGCACAGAGCCGAGCAGGACCATCCGCTTCTCAGTTCTGGACCCTGTGTGTCTGTTAATGCAGCCTGATTAGATACTGGTACCCTCAGCAGTCAAATCGCTCTGCTGACTCATGTTGAACTTATTAAATTAAAACTTTAGGGCTTCCCTGGTGGCGCAGTGGTTGAGAGTCTGCCTGCCGATGCAGGGAACACGGGTTTGTGCCCCGGTCTGGGAAGATCCCACATGCCGCGGAGCGGCTGGGCCCGTGAGCCATGGCCGCTGAGTCTGCGCATACGGAGCCTGTGCTCCGCAACGGGAGAGGCCACAACAGTGAGAGGCCCGCGTATCAAAAAAAAAAAAAAAAAAAAAATTAAAACTTTAGCTCTTTAGATCTTTTTCATGTGTAAGACTGCTAAACCATGATTACCTTTTTTTTTTTTTTTTTTCTCCTAGAGCATTTGCTTCAGAATTCTGAGTGAAAGAGCATGTCTAATTGTATGAGGCTTGACAGGGAAGGAAAAAACAGTGCCTTAGCCTTTTATTTGTGTCTATGGCTAGAGCTTCCTTTGATACTAATAAGAATGGAAGCAATCTCTCCCCTGGGTCTCTTAGGGTATGTCTTGATGCTAAGAAGAGTTAAAAATAAGTGACCACCAGCATTCCTGGTTTTTCAGATGAGGAACCTTAGGCCTAAATTTATTTATTTATTTAATTAAAAAAATTTTTTTAACATCTTTATTGGAGTATAATTACTTTACAATGATGTGTTAGTTTCTGCTTTATAACAAAGTGAATCAGCTATACATATACATATATCCCCATATCTCCTCCCTCAGGCCTAAATTTATAAAGTTACTTGTTCATTGTATTTAGTAAATAGTGGAGCCAGGACTTAGACCTGGACCTTCTGCTCTCTAGGCCAGTGCTTTTCCATACCACCGTGGTTGAAAGCAATGGTCTGGTTGTAGAGAAGACCAGTTTTGGTAGGAATGAGGCAGTTTCTAATTTTGTTTAAATTCTTACCTAGGGGGCTTCCTTGGTGGCATAGTGGTTAAGAATCTGCCTGCCAGTGCAGGGGACACAGGTTCGAGCCCTGGTCCGGTAAGATCCCACATGCTGCGGAGCAATTAAACCTGTGCGCCACAACTACTGAGCCTGCGTGCCACAACTACTGAAACCCGTGTGCCTAGAGCCCATGGCAAGAGAAGCCACCACAGTGAGAAGCCTGAACACTGCAAGGAAGAGTAGCCCCTACTTGCCACAACTAGAGAAAGCCAGCGTGCAGGAATGAAGACCCAGTGCAGCCAAAAATAAATAAATTAAAAAAGAAAATTCTTACCTAGGATTATGGAATTTCAGTTCTGGAAGGGATCATCTATAATAGAGATGGAGAACATTAGATTTAAACAGGAAGACCTGGATTTTTTAAAAAATATTTTATTTATTTATTTGGCTGCTCTGGGTCTTAGTTGTGGTATGCGGTATCTTTGTTGCCACTTGTGGGATCTTCATTGTGGCATGTGGGCTCTTTAGTTGAGGCATGCAGGATCTTTTAGTTGCGGCATGTGGGATCTAGTTCTCTGACCAGGCCGAACCTGTGCCCCCTGCACTGGGAACATGGAGTTCTAATCCGTGGACCACCAGGGAAGTCCCAGGAAGACCTGGATTCTAATCCTGGTTGTAGGATGGACAGGCTGATGCTTGTTAGCTCTGTTTTTAATCAATTTAGAAGAAGCATAATTTAGCTATATAGATAGCTTTCTGGAAGTTGTTATCCTTGTGGGGGCTTTTGTTTAATAAGCTCCTGAGCAACTCAGGCTGTCTACTGATGAGAGATCAAGCACAGAAATGATCTTTGGAATGATACCAGCACTGCCAGGAAAAATCTTCTAACAGTACTATTTAATTTTAGTTTTCTTCTTTTTCTGTAATAACTTGAGGCCATGGCGCCTGGGTTTTAAGAGAGGGTGTCAAAAGTAGGAACTTAGAATGAAAGATGGCAGGGAGAGCATTCCTGACCTTCTCTGAAAGCCAAAGAGAAGTAGCTGGGAAGGGAAAGTGACCAAGAGAGGGCAGAAACAGAGGGATTAAATCATAGTATTAGAAAACAGCTCAAGACAATTTTCTGGTAAGAACTTTATTTCTGGACTCAGCAACTAATCGGAACACTACCAAGCATGTTCTAAATGACAGGAAGATGGAAGACAATGGAGTGAGTTTTGCAGAGTTGGTACCCGTTACTGATGAGCAGAGAAAAACATTTCAATGCACAGTGATGTAGCTCATAGCTAAGCTAGAAGTGATATATATGTACCATTTTAAGATTTGCTCACCATGTATCATGCCTGATGGTTTGACAAACTAAAAGTGAGAACCTTCTTGTGTACTATTTCTCCCAACAGTTTGTTTCATTCCAAGTAAGGCCCCTAATCTCTCTGGAGTTATGATTTCCAGAGCTACAAAAAGCGGTACATGTGCCTCTCACTATTGTGGCCTCTTGCGGAGCACAGGCTCCGGACGCGCAGGCTCAGTGGCCATGGCTTATGGGCCTAGTCGCTCCGCGGCATGTGGGATCTTCCCAGACCGGGGCACGAACCTGTGTCCTCTGCATCGGCAGGCGGATTCTCAACCACTGCACCACCAGGGAAGCCCGGAGTAGCAGTTCTTTAACAGAAGAGATGCCAGGTGAATTTTGTAGAATCTTTGAGCAGTAGAATTGTTGTTTGTATGTTTGAGCCAATGGAAACAGTAACTATGCCCTTTGTAGTGAAGGGTGGTGGGAGGCATTGACCTAAGAGGATTCCCTTCTAAAGCATGGCTTCCATTCTTCTAAACAAAGTGCAGTGTTACTGTTTCTTCTCCCTTTTCGTGGACATGAGATTTAAAAAGATGTTGTCTGCCAAACAAAGCATATTTCTTAATAATTTCTTTACCCATTTTTATGGATCAAAGGCACCTTAACCATCAATTTTGATTCTAACTAAAGAGTATGATTCCAGCTAAAAGCAAAATAACCTGGTATTCTAGTGTCACTCTGAACTTTGTCTTGAGAAGATGTTTTTGTTTTTTTAAAAAACAAATTTATTTATTTATTTTTGGCTGCATTGGGTCTTTGTTGCTGCACATGGGCTTTCTCTAGTTGTGGTGAGCAGGGGATACTCTTTGTTGCGGTGTGCAGGCTTGTCATTGCAGTGGCTTCTCTTGTTGCGGGGCATGGGCTCTAGGCGCATGGGCTCAGTACTTGTGGCACACAGGCTTAGTTGCTCTGCAGCATGTGGGATCTTCCCAGACCAGGGATCGAACCCGTGTCCCCTGCATTGGCAGGCAGGTTCTTAACCACTGCACCACCAGGGAAGTCCCGAGAAGATGTTTGTTTTCTACTAGGCTTTTGGAAATAAGAAAATAAGCTGACAGATCTCCTATTCAGTCAGTTCGTTTGTAGGACAGGATTTTTTATAGGAGCAGTAGAGCAGTACTGGAGAACCAGGAGGGTTTTAGGGAGAAAACTCAGCAGAACTGGCCTCTCTATTGACATAACACAGGGAGCCAGGTGGCATTGGACTTTTGTATAAACCATTTCAAAAGTCAGATCAATATAAAAGAGTTGGCATCCCCTTTTTCTTTTATATAAACCTGACGAGAGATCTATTTGTTCTGTTCTTTTAGCTATTTAAAAATTACTTTGCTAAGTGAATCTTCAAGTCATTTAGTTAAATTCCTCAACCATAGTTGTTTGTTGCTATATTTTTTGGGGAAAAGGTACAACTGGCTTTTTCTTTCTCTTACATTCTTTCAGGTATAAATATAAAATTACCATGATGTGTTAAATCATTACATCAACGCTGGTTGTTTTTTGTTATCTGAAGAAAATGAACTTATCACAGTCATTTTCTATTTATATTACATAGCTATTTGAGGGTAAAATGTCTTACTTGTATCCACATTTAATAAAGGAAACTGAGCATCTCTTACCTATTTCTGTTCCCAAGTCCTGAGGATTCTACCTCTTTAATATATTTTATGTGCATCTCCTATGATACTGTTTTAGCTCAACTTCCTCTTTTGAAAGAGATTTATTGAGTTGTAGTTGACAATAAAATAAGGTATAAATATTTAAAATGTACAATTTTCAAAGTTCTGACACATGTATACAACTCTGAAACCATCACCACAATCAAGATAGTGAATATATTCATCACCCCTACAATTTTTCTCACAGCCTTTTGTGATCTCTCCCCTCCTACCTCTCAGACAACTACTGATCTTTCAGCTGCTATAGGCGTGTTTGCATTTTATAGAATTTTATATACATGGAATAATACAATATACACTTAAAAAATTGGCTTCTTTCACTTAGCATAATTATTTTGAGATTTATTCATATTGTTGCATATCTAA